TTAACCTTAAACCGCATAAACACATTTCATTACACCAAATACACAAAATAATGTTCTTTTTAGCAACATCATATGACCCCTTTAAAACCATGATTACATGGACAGTAGTGAGCTGTATAATATGTATGATATGAGCTGTATGATAATTATTTACAGTTATTTGATAACAGCCATAATTTGTTCAGATTTTCATCTGTAATGTTGTGTCTTTTGTATAATTTGAGGGGGAAAAAGTCCCCAATATTACAAATAAGATTAAAAATATTGCCACTTAATACTTTTCTTTTCTGACAGCAGTAGGTGTAAGTGCAACTTCAGCAGTGAGCCTAGACCTACTTCTGTGACCTGTTGCACCTGGGATGTGTTCATGAACTTGAAGCAGACACCCATCCTAAACATTTTAAAAGGTTTGTTTTATTTGGAAAAACAATGTGTTTGTGTATCAATGTGGTGCCATGTTGTTCCTCAATCAGAAAATCACCTTAGATTCAAGATGCAGACTTTGGGCGTACATAAACAGTAGATATGGTAACATACACAGTGGGGAAAAATAGATTTAAAGAAGAATTTAAGTTTACTGTAAATTATCATAAATGTGTATTATATCCATTATTCTACTTAATTGCTTATAATTACTGTGAAAATCAGTAAAAAGTGGTAATGTGATCTTCCAGCAATTCAAATCCACAGTTGCATTTATTTTTTTTAAATTGCGAAATATGTGCACTACGTCAGCATACTTGCAACGTTTAGTGTTAGGACAAACCAATACAATAATTTTATTTAAACATGTAGGCCTACTGTTTAACCAGATTTACGGTGTTGTTACAGATATAAACCTTAAAACTTTTCGGTTAAAGCTAAATTTGAAATCATTTTCAAATGTATTATAGGCTATCATTCTCCAGCCAAATCCTGTACCGTACTGAGATTCGTGAGAGCCTACCGTTACCTGTTTCCATTAAGTGGCCAATTTGAGTGATTCCTGTAGCAAACGATTCCTCTTCCTCACCTTCCCTGACAGAAGCCTCTCGTTTCTTGTTTGCACTTTGATCGGTTGAATCGGTCAAACAGATAACGATTCGTTCTCTAATCGCGTCATTGTAAATGTATGTGGGCACTTTCAGGACTGGCTATCTGGTGTTTATCTCCAACCACTTACGAATCCGCGTTCGCATGACTGACAGCCGTTTAAGTCACCCTTTTCTTTAACATGAATCGTTCGTAAACAACAAACAAATCTTCGAGTCTTTGTTGGCACGCCTAGGCAACGAAAACGCCACAAACGCCTACTCTTATGTCAGAATAAGACACAGGATAGTGAGATATCGTTTAAATACCCCTGCTATACGGAACGGCAACGGCGCGGTTTGGTTGAATGAACGCTCCTCGCGCGCGTGCGGACATCTGTAGGAGGGTGGAGCGAATGTACGCATGCGCACAACCGCTACATTTAAAAAATGTTGCCTAGTGCTTGCCACTTATTGCTTCATGATGTTCTCAGGAAATATGTCGCTCTTTTGTAACAAGTCAAACCTGTTTTTCTATTCAAAAGATGAACCTTAGAGTTTGCTGTACAATATTTTGTTATAAATAAGTCTAACCAACATCCAGTATTCAATTTTGCATATCAATTATTGGCATAGCCTATATTAGTCAAGTCACCTTTATTTATATAGCGCTTTATACAATACAGATTGTGTCAAAGCAGCTTTACAGTGTTAAACAAGAAAAACGTGTGCCGACAATGCAAGAGGACAATAGAAAACAGTCAGTTTTTCAGTTAAAGTCAGTTCATTACTGATTCAGTGATGACATCTTACAGCTCAGTTCAGTTCTCTTTAAATAGTGTCTATGCAATCAAGTCAACAATGTTGCCAGAAGTTGTGTCCCCAACTAAGCAAGCCAAAGGTGACATTGGCAAGGAACCAAAACTCCATCTGTGATATTATGTAGGCTAGGTAAGAAACGAAAGAGATTTTTGCCCAGTGTAAAATCATGTTGCAGTTTTATTCAGGGGTGAAAAACGACACGTAAATAAGTTAAATATGAGAACTCATTTAATTTTGAAAGACAGGGTTTTTCTTGGTCTTAGAAATGGATCAAGAGACAAATAATTTTAATTGAAAATTGTAAAACAAACCTTTGTAATCTCAATTGTATCATTGTACCTGCTGTGATAGAAACATGGATCAGCCCTGTCTCTGCAATTCTACTATGCAAATGTGTACTTCACAGGATACCAAAGGTCACGGCAGGAATGAAACAGGAAATAGCTATTCACAAAGCACTTAAAATAACTATTATAATAAAATAATAAATTCTTCTATAGTTGATGTTTCTGATTTTATTTGGAGAACTGGCCATCTGCAGTACGACATCGTTTTTCTTGTGGTTGCATAGTGATCAGTCACATATGGCTGCAGCTGATTGTGTCCATCCAAAAGTTGCCCATGAAGCAAAGATTTTAAGCACTTTTGAGCCGAGAAACTAGCATTGTGATGAAATGTTTGGGGTCAGTACATTTTTATTCTTTCTTTTTTTTGAAAGAAATGAAAACTTTTATTCAGCAAGGATGTGTTCAATTGATAAGAAGTGATAGCAAAGATTTATATTGTTAGAAAAGATTTTGATTAAGATATTTTGAATAAATGCTGTTCTTTTTAACTTTTTTATTCATCAAAGAATCCTGAAAAAAGTATCGCAGTTTCCAAAAAATAAAATTGCCAGTACAACTGTTGCCAGCATTGATAATTCTAATAATAAATCAGCATATTAGAATGATTTCTGAAGGATCGTGTGACACTGGAGTAATGGCTAATGAAATTCAGCTTTTCATCACAGAAATAAATTATATTTTAAAGTATATTAAAATAGAAACCATTATTTTATATTGTAATAACATTTTGCAAGATTACTGTTTTTTTCTGTATTTTTGATCAAATAAATGCAGCCTTGATGAGCATAAAAGACTTCTTTAAATAGAGAGTGCAAGTGATAGAGGGTCAGGTGTTTTTTAAATAATAAAAAAAAGAAAACAAATACACAGCAAAATCCCCAGAGTTAAATCAACTCTGCTCAGAGTACATATTGTCCCAATCTACAGAGTGTTAAAG